CTTCTGGCTGTCGGTAAATATATTAAGAGCTGTGGGCCCTATATTTATTCTAATCTAATTTACACATTCCGTTATTGCTCGGAATTCTGCCTGGAAGCTTGTGTTGTGATTAGGTAAACGGTGGTATATTTCTGTTTCTGGATCTTCAATATAAAACCCCAGTCCCACTATTTCCCCCAATTTACAGCCATCCGTTTAACAACAGATTCCTACTGGTATTTGCTCTAGTGTTCCAAGACAAGTCATTCTATCTGGGATCACCGTTTCAAAGTTTCCGAAATATTGTGATGATTGTGTATAATGTGCCCAGTATACATTGATGACATCCGTTCGGCTGTAAGCGCCGCCTCATATCTTAAATATGTTTCAATGGGTGGAGTATCTAGCAACGTGTCCAGAGCTTTGGTTGAAGTAGCACACATGACACCAATTGAACTCCCTGTACTAGTTTGATATTACACCAGATTATTGAAGCATATGATGCTAGAATTGGTCTAATTACACTTTTATAAAGCTAATTTGTCATTATAAGAATAAGACCCCAATTCATGCCTATAGTTTTCCAGCACCGATGTGCCTGGGCGATATGTATGTATGTATGTATTTCTGAATGTACCAGGTTTTTATTTGTGCATTTTTTATAAACATGTATAAATTTTGTATGTAAACATGTTGCAACAAAATTTTCTTTTATCTCTGCCACAAGTGTTCAGATATGTAAATTGTGAATAAATAATCAAATCATGTTAAATTTGATTGTTTTTCTAATTTGTTATTTGCCAGAAGGAAGTATTTACTCGTGCAAATACCCTTAATGTATTTTTGGTATATGTTTGATATAAGATATTGTTAATTTTATTTAGTTGTATATTTTGAAGTAAAATATTATTTATTTGTTAATTTATATAAATTTGTTTGCACTTATAAAACATGAATTCATTCTGTATTCCCTTTGATTACCAAGTGCCAGAGTTTGCAATAACTCTGATGTTGGTGCTTTTCTGCTTTCGAAAGGTCAATTTTTATTTTAAAACAATGCTTCAGGCGTACTTTTTGCTTTGTTTTTACAGTTCATACTTACGATAAAATTACAATTCATGTATTGACTGAAGAAGTGTGTCATACAAACTGGAAATAAAACTTTTAAATTAACTGATATTACACGTTGACGTATTCGAAATATTAAAAGAAAATAAGCATTTAATGTGCTACCTATCGCCATGTGTGTGAACTTAAAGTAATGTTTAGATTTTTATTACATTTAGTCTTATTGAAATACACTTGTTGAAATGATTATGATTAATTGCATACAACATTATATAGACACAGGCAGCCGACAGACAAGTTTTCTTTCACTTGGGTTCCTTTTGTCAACCATGAGCTTTGATAAGACAGGAATGAGAGGGATGGAAACTCAGTAGAATATAAAAATCTAAATTTAATGTTTCGCGTCAACAAATTTTAAAATTTGTATACATTTTGGTTGTTAGAGGTTTATTAGCTGTTGTGTTTGGCGATAAGTATCATGTTTATTTGCTTAAAGTATCTTAAATTTCATTCTGTTTGATGGACATTTTTTAGGCAAAATTATATCATTACCTACTTTTTGTTATTATAGAAGTAACTAAATCATATTATAGCCTTGTTGTTTAAATTTAATAGAAATTTATATTAAATTTTTAAACTTTTTTTGTTTATAATAATAACGTGAGTTAATAGTTTGTTATTTAAAAAAAGTTTTAAAAAGAAGAAAAAAATAAGGACTTCAATTTTAAGACTTTTTCTACTAAAGTTATACGAAGTAAAAATAGGGTCTGTTGGAATATTGTTGTGTAAAACATCCTCTAAATATGAAAGAAAATTTCTTTCAATAAATGAAAGTGAGTAGTTTTTGTTGTTCTCAACATAAATACAAGATTTCTTTCGCATTTAACTCAACAGGCTGCATATGTAGTGACGTATGAGAGGAAATGTTGGGAAGTCGTTCCCAACAAGCCCTAAAACTATAGAAGATATGTGATGAATTCTGGGCTTTATAAGAAAGTTTCTCCTAAATATCACAAATTTTCAGGAGAGCAAAAAAATCGTCTCTAGTTCATGAAAATTGGAAACCCATAATTTAAACATTTTAGTAATGACGGGTATTTATGTAATTGTGTGTTTAATATTGTAATAGCCTGAAGCTTATGTACATACCTATGTAATGAGTTCATGAAGTTTTCGTGTAGTATTACAGTATTACATACATCTTTGCAATAATTGTAGTAAAGTATCTACTAATTTCGACATTTTGGGATTTTGAGATTAAAAACCAATAATCGACAAGATTTGTAAATTCTTGTATATACTTATAAGGTGCAAAGCATTATACAGCTTCTTGTATTTATATACATTTTATGATGCATAATGCCAACGACCAAGTCATAATATGCAAATGCAGATAGAATTAACACACACATACATACATACTTATTTTCACACTTGTATACCTAAACACAAATTACCTTTTGAAATAAGTTTTATGATAATAAAACGTAAAAAAGGATTTAAAACGACAGGATTAGAAGGAAAACCAAAAAGTAACAACTTGTTGGATGCTATGGGTGTTTGTGTTTAATAAACGATTTAGGGAATTTAAAAGTTTTTAAATACTCGGCACTTAGTTCATATACATATGTAAGTATGTATGTATGTACTTTGATATGTACAAAGAGATGCATGTTCAAGAAAAGGTGTAAATATTTAATGCAGTTTGTAATCAACACGAATGGATTGAACAATTACTTCGAATATTTTTAAAATATACAACATACTACTTACTTATATAGTTAGAGTGCCACTAACCAATAACAAAATTAATATGAATCATAAAACGATCATCTTAATCCTTAAACCTATTGTGATCATGTTTCAAACAGTTGCAAAATCTAAAATTGTTTCTTATATAATTGTTTTTGTTTCAGAAACAGAAAAACAACAATCACACTTAAAAACGACTCAAAAATGAGTCAAAACTCATTAGAAATAGGGCTCATAAAAGACTCTTTTTAGAAGAGTTGGCAAGCAATTTTGTATGCTTTAATTATAATTATAATAATTTTCTATGTTTAACAATTTTCTACGGAAGATAGTTGGGTGACTAATCACTAGACTTAGTTTAGTGAGCTAAGTAGAAATCTTAAAAAAAATTATTCCAATTAATGATTAAAATGGGATTTATTCCAATAACATTCGAAATAGATCTTCCGGGTGCTCGAAATACGATTGTTTATAAATTTTTTAATTATACTTCGCGCAGTCGGAAAATCAAAAAATTATTTTCTGTATTATTGTTTTTGTCTGTAACAGGCATAAAAAAGGACTCTCAAAAGACTCAAAAATTATTAAAATATGATTCGAAAATTACTCTAAAACGACCTGTAATGCAACACAATAATGAATCAAAAAACAGAATTGATCAGATGAGGGACTCATATATTATATGTACTTCGGCAGAGAGTAAAAAATAAGTTCTTTGACTGGCTTTTTACCACTCAATCGATTCGTATTAATGTGCATCGATTGTACTGAGATTTTTCTCGTATTTTGTATATAAAAACGTATCGTTTCAAAAAAATTGTCCACGGGACACCCTAGTGAACATATGTACGTTGAACCGACTCGCTCTGTATGGAAAGCAAAAACGTGTTTTTGTTACCCCTCTCAAAATTTACCTTGCTTTGTTTTATTATGACTCCCAAAATATTTTAAGTCTAGCGATGACCGTTCGTGAGCTGGACCAAATTTAAAAAAGGTATTTTTGAATTATTTTTTTTAATATTAGTTTTGTGTTGAAACAAATCATAAATAACAGTCTGCTCATAATTGTCATATTCCAAAAAAAATTAAAATTTTTAGGTTTTTCATTAATATAAATAAAATTAATGCACAATTTTGCAAATTTTGCACACCACTAGTAAAATTTAAAAAAATAACTAAAAAGGGACTTTTTTGTAACCGGTCCAGCTCTCAAACGGCCACCGATAAACTCGAAATATTTTGGGAATCATCATAAAACAGAACAAAGATTTTTTGAAGCTGGGTAAAATATTGAATTGAACATGAAAAATCGTGTCCCTCATAGGATATTTTCTTGAAAACTGCACAGCTCACGAACGGACAACACTGAACCCAAAATATTTTTGGAAACATCACATTACATAACAGAGAATATTTATAGACCCAGCAAAAATAAAACGAAGTACTTCCAAAAGAATAACATTTATCACCACTTCAAAAGTAGCACTTACTAATTTTTTTTACCTTCTGAGGAAGTGATGTTTAAAGACTTCCGAAGAAGCGAAAATAATTTTATCAATGTTGAAGATATATTTTTTGTTCTTACACTTTTATGAGATTAAAAATGTTATATTTGGGCTTTTGTATTAAGTGTGTCTATTACCCTAAGTAAAATTAGTTGTATTCTGTAATACTACAATTTTAATTTCGAATAACTTCCAAAAAAAGAGCATTAATATTACTTCTTTAGAATGACTTCAGAAGTAGTGAATTTGAAATCAAATAAAAAGGACACCCCTCCTATGACAAGCCTGTGTTAAAATCATCACTTCTTAAGGTCTTTTTAAGTACTTCAATGGAGTAAATTCTACTTCTTTTTCGCTTCTTTGGAAGTCCTTTTTTTGCTAGGAAAGAGCCATAAATGTCTCAAATGTTATCAAAAATTTCAAAAAATACTAGCTGGGTACACTCAAGTTGTCCTGTTTTGAAATTATCGTTAGATGGCGCCGTAGTATAAAATTATAGGCACTTACACTTGAACCTCCGAACAGTTTATTTTAAAATTGGTGGGTTATAACTTTACGTGTAGGGTCCATATGTCCAATCAAGGGCCTTCAATGAGAGCCGAGCACCTCTAGTCATTTGTAAATGAATATATTCCTCTATAAATTAAAATAAGACTGCGATTTATTTATTAAATATCTTCTTTTTACTTTTTTCAGACTAAATACTATCAACAGTAACCATGATTAGCATTTGTAAATCAGTTATTTTATTTACAATCTTCATGATCATAACAATCGTTCATATTGAGGCTCGACCACAAAATGCACTGGACTCCAATCAGGTAAATTATAATGAATTATAAAAAAGTAATATGTTAAAATCTAATATAAATACTATAATTATAATACTAGGCATTGGATACAGTGGAAACTGACGTAGACGAAATGCAAAATTCCTACTACGACTTGCCCCTGCAACAGCCACAAAATATCTATCCCAGTATACCATTGGAACGTTTACAAATGCTCATTGCTCGTTACAACAGACCCACGTGAGTTACGCCAAATCATTTCTTAATGTTAATTTTGAAATTAAACTGAAATTTAACTTATAATTTTATGCATTCCAGAGCCTATTTGCGTTCTCCATCCGTCGCTGGCATGAATGAATTGTATCGTGTGCCCGAATCAAAGCGTCAAGTCAGATATCGACAGTGCTACTTCAATCCCATTTCGTGCTTTAAGAAGTAAATTTTGAATTAAATTTATTTAAACATGCTACGGTTTGATTTAGAGAACATAAAATTAATATTTTCCCCTCATATAAAATAAATTAGTAAATTAAAATTTCGAAACTTACTAAATGCTAATTTAACTTCAAGTCAATGCTAAAATGTAGTTTTAAAAAATTACTGTTTTAATTTTAAATTTGTTTCTCTCTCAAAGTATTAAAGATAAATTAAAAAAGCCATTTAATTTTTGTTTCGGTTTAAATATTTCATACATTTTTATTTTGTCTTTAATTTTTTTTATTATTTTAAAGGAAAGGACTATATATTTTTGTCTTTTTTCGGAATTTTACAAGAATTCTTTACATAAATATTTGTTTAGGATTTATTCAGTTTTATTATGTTCTTATATAAAATAATATCTAGTCGCATTAATATATTTTTTAAATGAATAAAAATAATTCCAATGTAATTATTATATATTATTTGTTAATATTGTTATTAAAGATTTAGAAAAAAATTAATTAAAAATATTTAAAATCAATGGTATGCATATGGTGTGGTACACCTTAAAATATTTATATTTATTATTAAATGTACACAATATTTCCATTAATGTATGTATTTATTTTTTAAACAAATTAGGTCTTGTTTTAGCACAATGAACGTTATATTTGAATATATTACGATTTTACACATATAACGCTGATTGTCCCTAAACATATCCCTGCCAATATTATTCTAAATAATGTAATAATTACAAAAAAATAAAATATTTGTACAAAATTCATAAATCTGTAATCATGATGTCGATTGTAAATTATTAAACATACAATAATTATATACATTCATACATATGTACAATTTAAATATTCAATAAAAAATTAAAAAGATCATTAATTTAAGTGTAAAGCAGCTAAAAAAATCAGAAAGTTTTCATTTATTTCTTGGGATGTTTGACATCTTTTCTGTATCTGACTTCCACTTGTCGGGTTTTTACATAGTGTATCTTCGTTTCACCTTGATTGAATGTTGTATGTGTATTAGCTTAAAAAGTTTATCCCCATAATTCGTATCGATATTCAGTGCGGTGACCATTATAAAGAAAGCAAAGATGAGGATAATAACAAATTGAATAATTTTCATAACAATGAACTTTCTTATTTTTTTTTTTTTGGTTTTCACACTGGCTGTTAAAGTAATAATGAAATCTATTGACAGATGACATTCTCTATTTATACATATAATTATTTACAAACATATTTATCTCAAAATAATAGGAAATATTTCTTTAAAAATAGTGGTAAATCCAGGTAAATAAGATCAAATATTTAATTCGGTATTTCTAACTACGGAGATTATATACATATGTATAGTTTATGTTTATAACTCCATTTAAAAATTCCATTCTACCTGTTTCTTAACACCTGGAAATATGTACTCTAGTAAAACGAGAACGATTAAAACAGTTTTAGCAGTTGTAGTAGTTCTGACGCTTGTTGTGAAGGTCGCTTTAGTTAGCGGTAGTGACCGGTTACTGTGTTCCATAAAAAGTGAGGTTTTGCAAAGTTTTGACCGGACACAGTCGAAATATACATATACATATTAAGTTCATATGATTCATTAATTGTTATCGAAAATTGGTATTATCAGTCCTCGATTTCGACTAGCCCCAAATACTAATATCCTCCCGAATACTTTTTAAACACTCATAAATATGCAGCAATCGTTATAAATGGCGCACAAGTCATTGTCGACCTTAACCAGGCTTGAAGGGTAATGATTACACAAAGTAATTCATTACATGGTCAATTACAATTAATTTAATTTGTAATTGAGCAATAACCAATTAAAATTACTTGTGATTGTAATTGACGTTTTTCCAATTAAAATTGTTTGTAGTGCAATTGAATTACAATTAGTTGAATTGTATTAATAATTACAAATTACATGTAATTATAAGGGAAAAATTGACAATTTTATGTAATTGTAAATTCTTCAATTTCAAGTAATTGTAATTGGAAAACTTCAATTATAATTACAAATAATTGTTCACAGAGCATATTGTCGTTTCATCTTTAATATTCGCATATCTAATCACAATCGACCGATAAGTCTTACGTCCTTCCTACTTAAAACCTTCGAACGGATATTCGATAGTATGGTTAAAAGCAATATACACGACAAAGACCTAAAATTTAAGCAGCATGCTTATGTAAAGGGACGATCGGTGGAAACCGCTTTCAACGAAGTTGTTCACTACATAGGTGAATCCTTCGATAGCAAACTGTAGCAAAGGCGCTTTCAATAACGTGCACACTGATACTCTTACCCAATCCCTAGACCAATTTTATATTGACCGGGTGCTCCGTAACTGGATCAACTATATGTTAAGGAACAGATGAATAAGCTGCGAGATGTACGATATTACTATTCGGATAAAGGTATTTCGCGGTATACCACAGGGTGGCATTTTATCACCTTTACTCTCGCTTACCACGATTAATAGCCTCCTAAGGATCCTAACTGAGAAAGGACTTAGACCTGTCTGCAATGCAGACGACGTCGTAATACTTTTAAAGGGGAGTAATCCAAATTACTTGTGTAGAAGAGCTGAGGAGGCTCTGAATACGGCCGTGAGCTGGGCTCAACCGAGAGGCCTCAATGTTAACCCGGCAAAAACGGAATTCCGTCTTTTCACAAGAAAGACAAAAATGTCTGCGTATACTGAACCTTGCTTCCTGGGCAAGAAGATACCGGTGACACACAAAGTTAAGTACTAGGGTGTAATCCTCGACCGGAAATTAAAATGGAGACACCACATAGAGCAGAGGATCAAAAAGGCACATCGGTGCTGGGCGATATGTACGAGAACTATAGGCATGAAATGGGGTCTTAGACCTACTATCACAAATTGGCTTTATAAAAGTGTAATAGACCACTTCTAGCTTATGCTTCAATAATCTGGGGGACTGCTTTGGACAAAAAGTGTAATATCAAACTACTGCAACCAAGGGTCTGGAAACGTTGCTAGATATTCCACCCATTGAAACATATTTAAAATATGAGGCGGCGCTCACAGCCGAACGGCTCTTTACTTTGGGCGAACTGACCAAAAGCGGTTATAGGACAGTCATCAATGTATACTGGACACATTAAAAGGTTATACACAATCATCGGACGTGCCTGATCGCATACCAGACACATAATATATCGGAAACTTTGAAACGCTGATCCCAGATAGAATGTCTTGGTCAAGCGGAAAACTAGAGCAAATACCAGTAGGAATCCGTTGTTATACGGATGGCTCTAAATAAAGTGGGCCTGGGGTTTTATATTGAAGATCCAGAAACAGAAATATACCACCGTTTACCAAATCATAACACAAACTTCCAGGCAGAAGTCCGAGCAATAACAGAATGCGTAAAGTGGATTAAAATAAATATGGCGCCCACAGCGCTTAATATATTTACCGACAGCCAGAAGGCAATTAGGGCGATATCAGATGATAGAATTAAATCTAAGACCGAATTGGTAAGAAAGCTTTAGCAGAATACTCTCCCAGAGGTAATATTTATATCATATGGGTACCAGGCCACTCGGGAGTAGTCGGCAACGAAAGGGCGAATGTAATAGCTTTAAAGCAATGTTGCCCAAAATCGCGATTCCCTATCATGCGAGATAGGGCAAGAAATTACTGCTGACGTTGCGTTGACTCACCTACACTATAAGCTTACTTGTGTATTTTCTTATTTGAGCATGTGCTAGTTGATTATCTCTCAACTTGCAAAACAAAATCAACTCAGTTGCTGATCAGCATTTGTCGAAGTTAGATCTGTACGCAACTTTTTTAAAATCCACACAGAAATACAACAACAAAATTTTGAGAATGCCGAATTTATGTAGATGAATTAGAGAGCACAGCTGATTGTTGAGAGAGCAGAGATGATTGTAAAAATCCATAATATCAATTTGACAGTTAGAATATACTTTTTAGTTTGCAGTCATTTTATTAGTACAGTTTTATTTTGGGTTACATTTTGTTCTCTTCTGCTTTACCAATACAAGAGGGAAGAGAGCTCGAGGTAGTTAACCTGACGAACGCAAAACCATTCGACGCAACAAAGCTGAATTAAAAGTATGGGAGAGAGAATTCCATAAGGCCTCTTGGAATCATGAAACGGTGGGTAGAACCACAAAGATCCAGTGGGGCGACCCTGATGAGAACTAGACGAGAAATCTTCTCAAAATGAGCAAGTCTGAAGTTAGTACCATGGTACGTATTCTGAATGGACACACAGGATTACGAGCACATCTATACAAAATTGGCTGTGCGGATTCAGACGAATGTAGAGCATGTGGAGGGGACAGTGAAACTCTGGAGCACTTTCTTTACCACTGTCAAGCATTCGTCGAAATTAGATCCAAGTATCTTGGAAGTGATGTTATTCCGGAAATAACATTCCTGACTAACACTGATTGGGAAATTCTTAGGAATTACGTCCAGGAAACTAAGTTTCTGAACACTGAAAAATAATATACTCAATGAACAAACATTTTTTTTCGCATTTGAGCGCACAACAGGCCCGATGTAGTATACAACCTCATATCAACCTAACTTAACCATAGGAAGTATCTTCTGTTGCGGGACATTTGAAGAGCCTTAGATTAATACTTCGTGGAATGCAATTTTTAAGATTTCACTGGATTCGTCTCAAAAATTTATTTTGTTATTATTGCTAAACCTGTTAGTTTTGGGTATGATTTCAAGATGGCGAGACCAATATTTTTGTTCCGCCCATTTTGAAATAAATTACATAAATTGGAATATAAATTACTCGTGCACAGTTTTTGGATATGATTAATTCTAGATGTTAATTCAAATTTTTAATTTTTAAGAAATACTACACCCTCTATTCCGATCCCGCCCATTTTTCATAACGATTTTTAAATTCAATGAGCGTATTACATACACATATACATAACGATGAACTATTTATATGCAAAAGGCATTGTTAATTCAATATAAAGTACTGCTCAAAAATATAGCGCACCTTGTGTTAGGTTTTTATTCTTTTTATATCATTACAATAAATTAAGTTAGAAAAACATGATTTATGGCAAATTCAAGAACGAAGTCCAGTTTATGTAATAAGTATCAAAATTCGGTGTAAGTCGGCAAAATAACGGTAATAGGGCTTTTTATACAAAACTAACCATAAAAAACTGTTTCATAATTATAGCGCACTCTTTGA